TAGGTGTCAGTGTACTGCTCTAGTCATCAATGATCCCTTCCCTTCATTTCCATGGTGGGGGGAATATTGAAGTAATGTAAACGATGTAAATCGATTTTACGCCAGATCGCTATTTTCTTCTACAACCTACTGGCAATGTCGTATAGATGTCATTGACGTGTTTTGTTTCAACGGTGATAATGGTAGTTCCAGTTCTTCCATTCATCGTGTTTATGACCGTTCATACTTTCTTCATATTCATGCCCAACATGAGTTTCTTGTCTTTCAGATGAAGCAGTTTGAACAAAACCCGTTCACTTGGGGCTCCGGGGAATACCAGGTCCGGTCATCGGTCGTAGAGCTGTCACTTCATCAGGACAACAACGAAGTAATGACCTTCCGCAACCTTACCGAGGACTTCATCATCACCATTCCAGGCAATCCCAAAAACAAACCGGCGACAAAGATCATAACCATCCCTTCGGCCGGAAATAGAAGCGCCAGGTATCATTTCTACAACCTTACCGGCATGGCAGAGGGATTCCTGGTCACCATCATACCGTTAAACGCAAGCGTAGTGTACCGCGTGTCGGGTAGACGCGGAGGCCGCCCTGACGACCAGAACTACAACGTGTCCATGGAAACGTACCTTCTTCCCGAGCAGTGTTCCCTGACGAAAAGCCTGACTGGCGACGAAGGCGACACGGACAAGACAAAGGCAACAATGTTCATCCAAGGGGAGGAGGATCCTGGAGAATATTACGTCAAAGTTCAGGTTCTAGGTCAGCGTTTTGCCATGCCTTTTGATGCTACAATGCATTAATGCTTGACATACTAGATAGGAGCTCGAGGAAGCTGTTTGTCATAATGACAATGATACATGATGGTTAACATATCTTTTTTTGTTGTGAACAAAAAAAATGTCAATGTGAAGACTTTTGTGGATAATTATAGAATTGGTTAGAAAGCGAAAAACCACACCAAACACTGCAATAGTTAGATTTGTCGCCCGTTTCTATGAATGCACACTTTTACCACTTACTGACCCTGTTTCCATTTTGCAGGTCCAGTGACTGAGTGTGGCGTCGAAAACAAGTCTGACCCTGGGGATGCCTATGACTTCTTCGCCTATGAGATCCAGTGGGCCCGTCTGAGGTGTCTCTACTGGAACGAGACCCTGGAAGCCTGGATGACAGACGGTTGTGCGGTACGTATGTAACGTCACAGTAACTGTTCTTTCTGTTGGTCCACATTGGGGGTAGAAACTATAATTATTATATAAGCAGTTCATAGCACAAACGACTTTCATATCTGGAGAAATAATCGCGAAAATAGCGGCAATGAAAGCACTGCGACCATTCCAAGGTTTACAGTAATACATGTATTTAAATGCGGGAGGAACTAAGTCTAAGTAAAATATAAGTAATATTCAATTTAATATGTAATATTTAAGAATAAAATGTGTCAAAATGTGATAATGACATCACATGTATTTTACCGTTCCCCACAGATTAGCAACCAGTCTAGTATCAACAGCACCGTCTGCCACTGTAACCATCTAACAGCGTTCGGGAGTGACTTCGTCACGCCGCCCAACGCCATGGACTTTGGAAAGTTTGAGTTCAGCGATCAACGGTGCGGTTTTGACAACCGTTTGTTCCGTGGTGTTCCGTTTCTGCGGGCTCACAATGGTCCCTTTACAAGTGATCGGGGAATTCAAGAAGGTACATTTTATAATTTACCCATTGATAAGATCTGCAAATACATGTACTAGTGTCGTAAATCAGTGGGGCCATGCGCCATGCAGAAAATGTATATTGTAATATTCGTGAGCCTTTTCGTCATAATGTATTATATCAACACAGATTAACTTTCATGCTAATATGTAATATATAGAGTTGAATGTGTTCATGTCTACTTATTCACTGTTACATAAATTGTTATACTGAATAAAGGTCAATATGAAATGAAAATAAGAAATTCAATGGGGCCAGATAATGTAAATCGTAATATTCGTTAGCATTCGAGCTTTCTTTCGTGAGGATGTAGAGTACTTGTTATCCCTGAAAATTCATGGTGAACTCCCGTGTTTATTATGCTTACATCCGCAGAACGGGAAACTTTATTGCTTTTGCTCCGTGTCTTCTTTGTCCGTAAAAAAAATAAGTTCAATGATGGTTACTGTTGCTGTGGTGTAGGGTTACATATGCGGATGCCCGATCCTAACCCTAACCCATTCAGGATTAGAAGCAGATAGACACGGCTCTGGATACGATAGTACTTTAATTTAAATGTAGCCTCTGTATGATTCTCTGGCAATTTCACTTTAATACCAAGCACAGTGAAGAAGTCCAGGGTATAACGTAACGTGATGTTTTATTGTTGTTTAGGTTTTTGCACGAGGCAGCCAGGTGACGCTGACGGCAGAACATCTGGGTGCCGTGGAGCATGAAAACACCACGACTACCAAAAATTGGGCCACGTTCTACCATGAATGTGTCTTTGTCGCATGAAAAACTGACTACCTTGTATGTGTGTATGTGTATGTGTGTGCGCGTGTGTGTTCTTGTGTGTGTGTACGTGTGTGCGCGCGTGCGTGGTTGTGTGTGTGTGTGTGTGTAGGTACGTGTGCGAGGAGTGCGTGCGTGCCTAGGCGCGCGCGTGTGCGTGCGTGTGTGTGAGTGTGCGAGGAGTGCGCGCGTTCGTGTGTGTGTGTGTTTGTGTATGTACATGTGTGTGTGCGTGCGTGCGTGTATATGTTTGTGTGTGGGTACATGTGTGCGTGCGCGCGCGTGTGTGTGTGTGCGTGTTTGTGTGTGCATGCGTTCCTGTGTAAAAGCACGTGTGCGTGTGCGTATGTGTCTGTGTGTGTGCGTGTGTATGAATGCTTGTGTGAGAGTGTGTGTTTGTGCATGCTTGTGTGTTTCTGTGTGTGTATGCTGCATATGCGTGTGTGTTTGTGTATGTATGCGTGCGTGTGTGTGTGCATGCGTGTGTGTGTGTATGTGTGTCTGTGTGTGTGTGCATGTGTGTGTGTGTGTGTGTGTGTGTGTGTGTGTGTGTGTGTCTTTGAGCAGCATAACTCGAGAATGCAATGATGAATTATAAATGAGAATCATATTTGGCACATGGGTAGAATTTGGTGAGAAAAGAAACTATTAGATTTCGAACCCCCTTTCGGCTTTCCTTGGTATTGCAGCAGTGATCTGGACATGCTAGTTGTATATGTGATGATTCACTTTTGTACTCAATGATGTATCAAACAAAAGCAGTTAATGGACATACATTGTCAGACTTTTGAACAGCAAAAAAACAATCTTCGACATCTTAAATGCAATATTAGATTCTTCAAATACGTGTTGCGTTTATTGCGTTCTTGAGTAGTAACGGTTATTTCGAGAAATACTATCATTAGCATGTGTATAATTTATTTAAAGTTGTTTGTGTCTTAACTTATCCATTGTTACAGGCATGTATTGTTATTATATATCATTATTAGGATATGTATAAAGTTATGACGAGAAGGCTAAAACTTTATGTGCAACGTGAAGTAAATTTGGACTTACCCAAATTTTCAGTTTACTCCGTCAGCCTTGTTCACGGATTGTATCCGTCTACTGCAGCTTCCGGGACGTGACGTCGGAAACACGTGATTGCAGCAGATGGCCATACGTGCCAGATAACCTGTGTCGCCCCCCGTCTCTGTTTAGTATCGTACGGTTGGCCCGAATTTACACAGCCTCGTTCACTCCTCTTGAAATGAAATCCGGCTCTGAGTCCTAGAGATTCTATGTGTATATGTTGGGATACTTCTGAATTGGCGTAGCTTGGTCGTTGGGGTTCACCTGTTTTACCAATGTATGTTACTTTACGCTGTCCCATTGTTTGTTTCACCATGGCAAGAGATGTGGACATAAATTTTTTAGCCTTTTCGTCATAATGTATTATACCAACACAGATGAACTTTCTTACTAATATGTGATAATAGATTTAAAGTTGTGTTCATGTGTACTCATTAATCATTAGATGAATATTATACTGAATGAAGATAAATGTGAGATAAACATCAAAAAGCAATGGCGACAGATAATGTATAATTTAGTATTATCATATGTATCAAGTTAGGTTACCTAAAGTTGTCTGAATGTCAATCCTACGTGTATTAGCACACTGATTGAATAAAGTTCAATGTGAATTTTTTTTCTTTGCTTTACTCTATGTTATGAGTGACTGGTTTTATTTTATTTTTATTTCTCAAAGATTACAGTTTCGCAGTGCTTGGTGTAAACTTCGCACTGAATTGCACTGCTAAAACAATTGGACAAGTACATGGGTTACAAATTATTAAAGAAATATTAAGGTAAAAAGTTTGTACATACATTGCTGTGATAAAATACAATCAAGAATACATTTTAAAATCAGTTCTCCGCAATTATTACTAAGTTGTCTTAATGTACATAAAGATTGTCATCATATCAAAATTAAGGGAATATTACACATTGACAAGATTTAACAGATTAAAAGATAACCTCTGAGTAGACATTGTCATGAAATACATATCGTGCATACAGATTTCAATAAGCCTATTATTAATACATTATTATTGATGACTTGTCATAAATGTGTATATTCAAAAATATCATGTGTATCAAGTTAGGTTACCTAAAGTTGTCTGCATGTCAATCCTACGTGTATTAGCACACTGATTGAATAAAGTTCAATGTGAAATGTAATTGAATGTCTATGTCAGAAGACACACAACATCAGCAGCACTGCATGGGTGGCCGTTAGCCTCCTTCGCAGTCTTGTTGGGCGTCGGCGTTATTTTTTCTCTGAGCGACGCGAGTAATATGCGGCCGCGAGGGACGATTTGCTGCCGAGGGAGTTTTTGCCACGGAGAGAAGGTTTCGCGCTTCTCTCCGTGGCTTCTCTGGTAAGTAATTAGTCGGAGTGAAATGGTACCTCGTTCGTTTTCTGTATGTTATAATTGGAGCTGGTGACAAAGTTGGCTGTCTTCAAAGTTAACGTTGTCAAGTGAGAAGTTTGTCGTTGTTATATTATTAATGACCCAACTGGTCTTTGTTAGTCATCCATGCACCATCATTGATAAATACCGGGTTACAATAGTGTAATTTTGAAGTTGCTCGATGGCAGTCACTATACTATACATACATGTACCTTACCTTATGTCATGGGTTCGCCGACAACCCGTAACTTCTTTGATTGTGTTTCAAGGATTATTGTTACCTCCATGAAAAATGGAGGTATTGTTTTTGGCTTGTCTGTGTGTCTTTGTGTGTGTCTGTCTGTCTCTGTGTGTGTTTGTGTTTCCGCACATTTGTAGTCAACATAACTTCAGGAAGCCTTTATGGATTGTGATGATATTCGGTACGTTGGTAGGTCTTAGGAAGACAAAGGTCAAGGTCAAATATTGGCCTCCTGGTGGTTGACCTTGGTACTGCAGCAGAACTTCCGGTTTTTGTACCTTTTGTCCTGAACATGCTATGGTCTTGATTTTTTGGTGGCAGATAACTTTTCCTGTCAGGAATAAGTGCAAGCACTAGCGCAGGTCAACGTCTACAGGAATTGTGCAGTCTGTGGACTCCACATGCGCCATTATTCGTGAACGCTGGAACTGCAATATAAAATTGTCAAACAGAATTCAAAGTTCTCCTAAATTCCTATTTAACGGTATAGAGTTGTCACTGCTATATAATGGTAGACTATCGTTTGCAAATTTTGTACGTGTGGTGTTAGCAGGTCTGATTTTTTAGATATTGACAAATTATTAAGAAAAAAGTCACGTACACCACACAGTAACTCACATTATCTATATGATGATCAAGATTTTAATAATCACTCTTTCGAATATAAACTCTGTATGCAAATTATTCGATGGTGTTCTGTCTTATGGATGGAAGTTTATTTTTCGTTTATTTTGTCGACAACCAAATAAGTGGGAGGGGGGTGCATGTGCACATGTTTGTAAAAATCACGAGATGAAATTAAGAGTTCTCTCCACGATGTGTTTGATGTCCAGCTTAAGCTAAGGTCCCAATTACGCCGGTGCCCGTCGGGGATGTAGCCCCGGCTGGCCCCGGCCGGGTTCAGGAGTCGAGCGGGCATCGGCTGTCGTGGTCACAATTAAAAGTTTCCTTCAGTAGCATTTTGTTAGAAATTATGTCACCCTCTTTGGTCGGTATCCGGCAGGCACCCGGCAGGTACCCAGCAGATTCTCTGAAGATGTCTATACGTAATGCAGAATTCACGTATTTGTTGTGATCGTTTGATCTGTGAGGTCACACATTTTACCCGGGTTTACGAAGTACACACCTTTATTCTGTTCATCTGGTCTGTGACGTAAGAAATGTGTCCCGGTGGAATGCCGGCAACCGGAGGGGTACCTCTCGGTGCTCTCACGATGAGGTCACGGCGTCTTTTTGTCAGCGGGGCCCGGGTAGAATCTAACTCAGAATTAAATTCTTATCGGGGCCCCGACGGGCCAAAAAGTAGCCCGGTAGCCGCAGGGTGCCCCGCGGGGCCACGTCGGGGTCCCGCCAGAAAGTGGTAAAAACCCGGGAACTACCCGCCAGGGCCCAATTGGGACCTTAGCTTAACCAGCACAGATTACCTCTTTTTCCACGAAAATAGTCTGGCTGTTGCATAAAAACAAAATGCTATTGCATCACCTCATGCCACGTCATTCTTCCAAATGAGAGCAAATGTAGCCTTAGATCGTCAGACTAATTAAGGTATTATTCCTGGGTTTTGCAGTTATACACTGCGCAACAATACAGTCTGCACATTACGATCGAAATGAACAGGCAGGGAAAGGCTGTCCGGTCGCCTGTCTCCGGCCCCGACAGCCGCCCCGACAGCGGGCGGCCGCCCCAATCCCGTCCTGTCCGTCCGAGTGGTTCACGCGGGCGTGTCCGCCATGGTAACGGCGCTTCTGATCATGACAAGCAGCAGGAAGACCAGGGCACGTCTTCACACCCATACGAAGACGTCGATGCGGCGAAACGTTACGCAACGCAGCGGGAAGGCCAGGGCACGTCTTCCCGCCCATACGAAGACGTCGATGCGGTGAAACGTTACGCAACCCAGCGGGGAGACCAGGGCACGTCTTCACACAAGTACGAAGACGTCGATGGGCAGAAACGTTACGCAACGTCTCCAGGTAAAGAACCGGCCGTTTACAGTGAATATTTTATACAATCAGAAAAGAAAAAAGTCCTGTAGAAAGAGTATATGATAACTAACTGAATATTGCATACTTTGCTGTGTGAGTATATTTAATGACAACAAGAGACCCCTTTAATCTTTACGGTACGTTCCGCTTGTAAAATCCATTAGCATGGTACGTGAACGTTCCCGCATCGGTGAGTATTTGGTGGAGCCTGTTTGGTGCGATGGATTATTTTTTTCAGCTTCTGATATCAGCCCTGCAAAAAATATAGTCATTAGCTTGGGATTCTATGTCTTTTTTACTTGCCCGAAAAATGAGGGGATTTGTAATTCTATTATTGTGGACGCATTTGTGTGTAATTGTGGTCTATTACTTAAGAAGGCCTGGATGGATTGTGATGATATCTGGTGGTTGTCGTTAGGGTAAGGATTCTATATTTTTTGCCTGCTTGAAAAATGGGGGTATAGTTAACTCCATTTTGTGTCTCAGGTGCCACACCCATGCGGCGGCATGAGCCTTATTGGTTATCACGTGCGGACGCCGCTGCAAAAATACCCAACCCTATGTACCCCTCCATTGCAGGTAAATCAGCTACAGAGGTTATCATTTCCGTATCGTAATTTTTACTAGTGTTAATTTTCTGCAGATGACTAATTGAATTTTCTTCACTTATCTCAGGCACCACAACCAAGCCGCAGCCTCAGTCACTGCGATCACGTGCGGACGCCGCTGCAAAAATGATCAATCCTATCTACGCTTCTGGTTCAGGTAAATCGTTTTAGTCCCAATTTCGTTTCCTTTAACATTAAAACAATATTGATTTTAAGTTAACGGCCCAATATTTCTCACTAATGACTATATACATCTTGTTTTTTTTCGCCCAGACGACCCACCCATGGACAAATTCCAGACTGATAACCAGGCACGTGCGAACGGCGATGAAAACACACCCGACGCCAGGTACACTACCATACCAGGTAAAACGTTTTACGTTTCTCTCTTTTCTTGCATTCTGTTCTTTTCATCCCTTTGTGGTTGTTACCTCATTAAAGCTGAGGATTTTTTTGTAGTTACCGTGATTGGTCTGTGGTACTATTTGCGTACACATGTAGGTTTTTGTTGAGACGTTTATAGAATAAATAGCGAAGTACTTTGATCACAACCATTTATTTTTCACGAGCCGACGTTTCGATGACCGTCCGTCATCTTCATCAGGGCAATTCTGACTGATTTACTGTGCACTGACACTCCAGAATGCAAGTGCACTGTGAACCATGTAACAGTACACTGTAAACCATGTAACACCTTTAGTGCACTATGCACCATGCAACATCTAGTGTCAGTGCACAGTAAACCAGTCAAAATTGCCCGGATGAAAATGACAGATGGTCATCGAAACGTCGGCTCGAACTTCGCTATTCATTCGTTTACCAACCTTATGAAATTATTTACGGACGTTTATATAATAGTTAACGTTTGTCAAGATACCTCCACAGTTTCGTAATGTACCAGAAGCATTAATTGTAAGCAAGAAAGAAACCACTGTAAATATGCAGGCCTGACTAAGTATTTCTCAACCTTCCAATGCTGAGATCATATTTCCAAACCGGGGCCCGGCCGGGCGGTTTTGATTAACGAAATATCAATGATTTATATAGGAATAATATACGCGAGTACATGTAGTTCCCATTATTTATTTCTTAAAGAACTTTTTTCTGCTTGGCTGTTCAGGTAAATCGTTTATAACATATAACATATGTTGTTAATTTTGTATGTTAAATTTTTCATCTTGGGGCTGTAAGGCCCAATATTTTTCACAAATGACTATGTCACTATGTGTGACACCTTCGATGCCAGGTGGCGCAAACTGTCTTATTCATTTGTCAAGCGTCTTCTCGCATCGAGAAACAGCATCGTGCACACGCTTTGTCAATCGCGATCGGATGTGTTTACAAGGAGCCTCTACTGGCCGCATCTTTTAATCATCTGTATGTAATTTGTGTATTTTGTACATGTACTTGTTTTTGTATTGTCCCTGTTTTTATTTGGGCCTCTGGAATAAAATAAATAAAATAAATAAAATAAATAAAATAAATAAAATAAATAAAATGAATAAAATGAATAAAATGAATAAAATGAATAAAATGAATAAAATGAATAAAATGAATAAAATGAATAAATTAAATAAAATAAATAAAATAAATAAAATAGATAAAATGAATAAAATGAATAAAATGAATAAAGTAAAATAAAATAAAATAAAATAAAATAAAATGAACAAAATGAATAAAATGAATAAAATGAATAAAATAGATAAAATAGATAAAATAGATAAAATAGATAAAATAAATAAAATAAATAAAATAAATAAAATAAATAAAATAAATAAAATAAATAAAATAAATAAAATAAATAAAATAAATAAAATAAATAAAATAAATAAAATAAATAAAATGAAATAAATATCTTTGTTTCTTTTTCAAAGACGACCCACCCATGCACCAGCCCCAGACTGACTCCCAGGCACCTGCGAACGGCGATGAAAACACACCCGACGCCACGTACGCTACCATATCAGGTAAGCCTTTTTTTCGAAAGTAGTAAGAAAATAATCTAATTTCATTGCTTTTCATAATGGAACTTTAATACATATAGCATATGCAATGTATGACAGGTGGAACATTCACAGGCTACAATTATGCAAATAAGGTCTAATTTGCACAATCAATCAAAATGAATGCTATTTTTCCCTACTGGTATTTCATTGACACATGTTCATTTGTTTAAACTGAGCATCACTATGTGTGAATGTTGACGTAAACAATAACTTGTGCGAGGTGTTTTTCCTACTAGACCGCACGTATCCGGGTGGAGCGAGTGGCCGCCGGGGTGTCCGCGCCCGCCGCAGCTATCTGGCCGCCGGCATCGCCGTGCTGCTGAGCGTCGTTGCCGTGGGACTCGCCCCTCTCACGTTCAGCAACAAACAGGTAACATTCTACTACTACAAATCTTGGTTATCAGCTGTTTTCTTATTTTCTTTCTGTTTTCAGGAGGGTACAAGAAATTTTCTGCAGTTTTTTGTAAGTTGGCTTCGTCGGTATTCTGACGTGCATAAATTCGTTTGTAGGAAATATCTCAATTGTCGACAACCCTGAAACGCGACTTGCGCCAACTGGCCACCACTTTTGGCGCCTTAAAGCGCAACCTGGACAACGAGCGAAACCGAACCGCCGCCCTGGAGCAGCGTCTTCACGAGATTGAGAAGACTTTGCGTAATTATAGTTTTTAGCTGTTCTGTTGACTCTTTATCTGCCATCATATTTTTTGGGGGGTGGGAGGGAGGGCAATGCGTGATACCATTACATTACGTATGTGTGTATTGGGGAGGGGGGCGTCTTTAGTACACAACTTTAACTGTGTCGTATTAAATATGTCTTATCGAATACACCTCGAGAGTAGATTCATTGTTAATGAAGCATATGTTGTATGCTATGAAATTTAATATCCATCCTTGACCTTGGCATCATGTCGATACAAAACTTGTTTTCCAGAATCTTGTCCTAAAGGATACACAATCTGGCATGGAACCTGCTACAAGGCCTTCGCCACACGCAAGACCTTTGACCAAGCGGCCGAGGCCTGTCGTGCAGACGGTGGCACCCTCGCCATGCCCCGAGACGCTGAGACCGACGCCTTCCTCATCTCCCTGCATGACTCCGTGGGCGACGGTTTTTGGTTCGGCCTGCACGATCAGTGCGAAGAGGGAAGGTTTGAGTGGCTGGACGGTTCTGTACTTGGGTCGTACAGCTCCTGGGGTCAGAAACAACCGGACAACTTTGGGGGCAACGAAGATTGCGTCATTTACTCCTCAGTCTGGAAAGACAAGTGGGACGACGCAATGTGCAAGAAGCTGTTGAACTTCATATGCCAGGCTGCTCCAGGTACTTATTGTATCCGCATTATTTGCTGAATCCCTTCCATCTAGTACATGTATTTGCCACCATCATTAGTTTGGAATGCCATTTATCTATGTTCTGGAGAGGTGTATTTCGCCTTTTGTTCACCTGGACATGTTGAATGTATGTCACGATTTTCAGCATGATCCATACTTGGCCTGTTTTTAATGCACAACATCTTGTCCTAATGTGACTATTCGTTTAGCTTCATATGCCAGGCTGCTCCAGTACCGTTGTTGAATCCGCACTGTTTCCAGAAACCCTTCCATCCAGTAATCACATATAGCTAAAGTATCCGTCAGAACAAGACAGCGGTCACAAACCATGTCTTAACTGAACAATTCCACGCTCATCCCTGATATATTTTTTTTCTCAGGCTGTGCAGGAGTCTCACCACTACTGTGCAGCGGCTCTCCGACCATCCGCAGTCAAACTAACTAGTATGAACTTAAGACCGGAAATTACTGCATTGTTTTAGATCAACATTTTTCCAAAAGTTGAATCTGCACAGTGGGAATATAAATACTGAGTGGGATGAAGCAGTTCTGTTCAATGGTTGTCACGCTTGTTTTCATACGGAAAATGTCTACTTAGGCCACACCGCCTTAATTTTATGGATTGTAGCATTTTATGGATTACTAGCATTTTTATTTTTGGCCGTTTTCTTTGTTTTTTTTATTCGCCCGCGCGCACCAGTTTGGGGGTCTTCAGAGGATGTCATCCATAAAATTAAGGCGGTGTGGCCTTATTTACACAAGGCACACATTTACTTCTGATGTTAGAATCATAGCTGTCATTGTGCCAGTAGAATATTCATGTTGTAATGCTTTTATTACTTTTATCATCTGTTACTTATTACAATGCAATATACAGGAACACAATGTCTTTCTGATGGCAGAATCATATCAAGTTTACTTGATGAAAATGAGAGAAACATTCAAATGTAAGTTTTCCTGAATATTTGAAAGATAGTTTTAGGAATGGTGATTCTGTGGTAGAAGTAGACGCTGTGCCAATGGAACGTTTATAGTTTATTGCTTTTAGTACTTTTATTATTATTGTCACATGATAAAATACAATGCAAAGGCACACAATGTCTTTCTGGTGGCAGAATCATACCAAGATTACTTGGTAAAACATTGGCAACACTCAAATTGAGTCAATTTGGGAGACAACAACTGGAACAATGGTCGCTCTGTCATAGAAGTAGACGCTGTGCCAATATAACATGTATGGGTTAATTACTTATTATTACTTTTTGCTTATTTAGTCAAGGCACACAATGTCCTTCTGATGTAAGAATTATATCAAGTTTACTTGATGAAAATGAGGGAAACATTCAGATGTAAGTTTTCCTGAATGTTTGGAAGGTAGCAAATTATATCTAGTATTATTGTCACTTATTAAAATACGATGTACAGGCACACAATGTCCTTCTGGTGGCAGAATCATACTAAGATTTCTTGGTAACAAATTAGTAACGCTCGAATTAAGTGAAGTTTGGGAGACAACAACTTGAGCAAGTCTTAAGAAATAGCGGTTCTGCCACAGTGCCAATATAACATGCATAGTTTTATTAATAATTATTACTTTTTACTTCTTTAGTCAAGACACACAATGTCCTTCTGATGGCAGAATCATATCAAGTTTATTCAATTTCAATTTCTTTATTGCACTAATTCAAATGTACATCAGCAGGGGGAGAATAACTACTACCCCCTGAATTGAGTACCATTTGTCACATTAAAAAATGAGAGACAATACATGGACATCTAAATAAGGTATACAAAGACATATACAAAGTAATTAAAATATACACAATATCCATACTGATTGCATCCAGCCAAGTCAGGTTCAGTTTATATTGAAGGTGAGTTATTGTAAAGTCTGATGGCGCAATACAGGAAAGACTGCTGCAGTCGTTTGGTTCTTGCATAGGGAACTGAGATGTTATGACCGTTCCTCAGTGCTCAGTGCTGATAGGCATCTACATTACCATAATATATGCATAGTGGTGTTAACCTATAAGTAACTTACACATGTCACACGAAACATATTGTCATTTGAATTTAGAAAACCATTAAAAACATTTACAAAAACTCATATATTTCATAGAGGTATGAGATCTACGAATTCTTATTCGTTTTGTAGTATTGTCATGTCGTAAGAATATTAACGCCCAATTTGATGACTTCACTGTTCTTGTACGTTGAATTATGTGATTAATTCCGTCAGTTTTGTTTACTTTCCTGATGTATTTTTGGGGGGGACGCCTTTGGGGCGGAGGCATTTGTGTAAGTACTACGATCGCTTTGAAAGAATTTCAAAAATTGCACGAATGCATTCCCTAGGGAATTGATTTTGGGGGGTAACCTTCGGCCATGTGGTTTTTGGACCAAGCAGGTCATTTACACCGAGTGCCCACGTGCCACCCATCCAGCTGCCTGGCATGATTAATTACTGGAGATCTGTCTTCTTTTCACTTCATGGACAGTTATCCAGAGAACACAACTGTATTTGGTCAAAGACCGCTTGATCAGGAATCCGACATTCCCTCCCCAAGAACATGTCTCTGGTGAAGGATAGAGTGAAGTGGAGGATGGTTTTAAGTTTGGTTCTAGTGGGAACTCGACCAAAGTAAAGTAAGTAAATATGTCATCATAAAATTTATATTGCTGGGGAAGAACGGCTGATTCCTCCTATACGTGTATTTGGTATATTGCCCCACACCTCATCCACCCATCCTGTAAATTTCACTACATGCATGTGTTTATAAATAGGGAAATCTTCTTTTCTTATAATTGTAAGTAGATTGCTAGCCCCACCACATGAAATAATATATCATTCAGTCGTCGTCTTGGCAATGATTTTTATCGCCCCAGCCTTGTTGTTATAAAGTTTATAGTCTCACAGGATGTGTTCACCAAATTGTGCAGATTCCTCATGATATACCATAAGTTGACCCTGGGGTACCGACAAAGGTTAGGTCAATTTCTATTTTAGGCAATTTTTATTCTATTTCTATTCAAGTCTATTTTACTATAGAGCTAAAGTTAATTTGTATGACTTGTGCAGACTTGACTTTAAACAACAAATCATTATGGTTGTATCTGCGTTATTACATCTTCCTTACAATTGCTAAAAGTGACTCCTACACTCTCCTTTACATTTCTGCTTCCTTTTTATTCCTTCCTTTTTATCCCTTTCTTTCCTTCTGTTGTTTGCTGATGCCTACAAGCAACTTATCGTGTAGGATCTTTCACAGGGGTAATAAAACCGGCGGACTTTTCACCAGATGCATGTGATCCTAATTCCGCTGTATCTATTGCGAAGTTTGCCTCCATGCTACAGTGTGTACATTATACTCCGCAAATAATTTCATCAGGTTGGAAGATACTTAGCCTTAGGCCTAGGGTATACAGAATTGTCTTCTTACACAACCAGTAAAGGTTCTCACCTGCTTACGTTTCGATGTCTATCAGACACCTTCCTCAGAGCTTTGTTAATCTTATTCAGGCATTCAGTTAATTTGTCATTAAACTCCTGTATAAGAGTGTTTGGAGGCCTGTATACACATCCAATAATGACATTTCCCCCTTCAGCACCACTTGAGGACAATTCAATGAAAATACACTGAGTTTCTGACTCCTCAATTTCAAACTCCAAGTCATTTCTCTCAACATAGGATAAGTCATTTCTTATGAATAGGGAAACCCCCCCTCCTACCTTATTATGTCTGCAATGATGAATAACTTTATAATTGGGTATGTTGTAATTTTGAGCTGTATTTTGAGATAACCAAGTCTCTGTTATGCCAATTACAGAAAAACTATGTTTTAAGGAGTGTAGGTTTTCATTAAGCTGCTCGAAGTGGCGTGGAAGGCTCCTAGCATTCAAATGAAACAACGATAGAGAACGTCTCTTGCTTAAATTACATGAGTTTACAAAAGAATCAATATCATAGTACTGGGAAGTATTCTTAGAAGAACCATAGAAATTACAAAAGAAGTTCGAATCAGGGTCTAGAGATGATAGGGGTGTGTCACAAACATTATCATTTAGATTGAGGTCAAAGGGGTTGAAAACTAAAGAGCTCAGGTCGGTGATTGGAGATGAGTGTTGATTATTAGTAGGGTTCATGATCATGAGGTATAGTTACCAGGGTAAGTTACTGGTTGTATATACTATTCTTCAAGCGTTAGGACTCCTCGGTGGATGCACTACAAGCCAATCAAATCTCAAGAAAGCAATGTTTCCTCGCTCTCTCTGGAGTTCCTCAGCTTCTGACTGGAGTTCTGCAACTCGCCGCTATTTATCGCCAAAGTAGGCCAAAAGCATTCTCGCCGCAAAAGCGCCACCTCTACTTTGGCGATAAATAGCGGCGAGTTGCAGAACTCCAGTCAGAAGCTCTGAGGAAGGTGTCTGATAGACATCGAAACGTAAGCAGGTGAGAACCTTTACTGGTTGTGTAAGAAGAAAATTCTATACCCTGTATATTATACTGTTTACACTTACATGTGTTTTTTTTTTCTTTCGCACAGGTATTATCAAGCTATCCTGTGACAGCATCAGCGGCTATAACTCACCATGGCGTTGACACTATGTTCACTAGCACGTCGGCAGAACGTACTGCGCCTGCGCAGAACTCCGCATTTTCGCGTTTTTCGTTGGGTTTTTGGTCAACGTTGCATAAGAATTTTCCCTGTTGCAGAGGATATTCTGTTCGAAACAAAATTTGGAAACTACTGTCGAAATGCTAACCTTATATGAGCGAATACAACCTTATATGAGACATTCTGCCAAAATGCTATGTACAATACATTACGGGTTTCGCGCAGGTGCAGTACGTTCTGCCGACGTGCTATGTTCACTGAAGAAGATTGAGAACTCGGAACATTGTGGACAGAAAACAAAATTTAAAAGAATAAATAAAAGAACGACAACGCACGTTCATCATTCACATCACAAAACACCAATGAATCATCTCATGTAACCATAGTCTGATTATTTCAACGTTGAGGTACAGCAGAAGATATTGACAACCATGTTGTCTCCACCCTTCTCGATTTTCTGTAGTATCTTGATAGTCCATTTGGCAAATCAATCTCACTCAAAACAGAAAAAAAACTTCCTCAGTATCGAATATACTAACTAGTAGTTATACTATTTTGTGAGCTCTGGGATTATAAGATACATATAATTGTGTTCATATGCATGTGATAACACGCCGATATATTAGTTAAAAGAAAAAAAATGATACTAAAAGAATGTACTTGTTCTATCGATAGAAAAAAAGCAAACATTTGAGACATCAAGATCAGTAATAGTAAGACAGCTATTGTTTGTGCAAAAAAGGAACAAAGGCCTTAACTTCTCGGTCCAAAGACCACCTGACCGAAGGTTACCTCAAAAGCAATTCCCTAGGGAATGCATTCGTGCAATTTTGGAATTCTTTCCAAGCGATCGTAGTACTTACACAAATGCCCCCGCGCCGAAGGCGTCGCCAAAAAGTGAAAGTGATCTCTCACGTGAATACTTGTAGTATGAGTAGACTAGTTCACTGACGCCAATGGGTTCCCCACATATTCACTCTCAGTACATTCGCCCCCTCTACCGATTTCGTTAGAAATTGCGCTGCTGGGTGTTTCCCAGGTTCGCGTCCACGCGTCCTACATATAAAACAATTGCTCCTTTTTTACGTACATTTCCCCTCTGTTCGGCCTCCCCAGTACTTCCCAGATCAGAAATGTAACGATATCTATTACTACGGGCTGCTTCGGCGGAACCAAATTTCCCGGGAAGTTCAGGACCTCTCACCCCCAGAATATTTCTCAATGGACTGCTCCACTTTCACTACGCATGTTCAGATCAATTAAAACTTCCAACCAACTCGACTCGTCTTCCTGGTTTCCCAGTTGTCTGAACACGAGAAGAAGAAAAAAGGTGTGAAAAGGTCCAGAAACGACCCTGACCATGCGGTAACGCCAGACCAGGGAGGTGTAGTCTTGTCCGAGAGAAGAGCTGACGGGACTGGTGGAAAGTTTTGGCGATCGATACAAACATTTACAAAAGAGGGAGGGAAAAATCCGAACAGATTGTGTACAGGTGGGTACAATGTAGTTGCCTTTTTGCTCCAACCAATAGTCTACAGCACAGCATACATTTTAAGGATGAATCCTGTGTCTGAGGTTGCAGCTTATGTTTGTATGAATCTACACAGAGTTGTGTAGATTCGTTTGTAGTAGTGGTACAAGATAGAGAACACTCAGATGTTTTCAACTGTCCAACACGCACTGTCAGAGGAATGTTGATAGAGGCCTATTAAGGCTATTATGTAATATTATAGTGTCTTCTTCGAACACTGACTAGCCACTCGACTCAACTGTAAAACCTGTGGCAGGACTTGCTTCGTGTCCACCAGAGGTCCTGTCAACACAACCTTCATAAGTCTTGTTTGCTCGTGAAGACAATCTACATTATGTCGTGACTAGCCGTCACGACTTTGGCATATTTGCTGGTAGCCTTGTATGTATAGCCCTCATATACAAGACTACCAGCAAAATTTGTCTGATTCAAGATTTGCTACGACTATCGAGTTAGGAGTAGACCCATATTCAAAGAAAAACATAATGCTAGTGGCAGGATTTAAATACAGCTGTTTTGACTTGAGTATTGTTTTTGTCTCGTCTGTGTGTTATCCCACGCTCACAGTGTTGAACAGGACCTGTTTAGTCACCTTTTTCACACTTCCCATAATCCTTTGCTATAGGGATCCTGTGGGTTTTACGACAATGCAGTGAGTCATAAAATTTACAGTGATTTATTTAAATCAACAGGCACACTGACTGAGGTATCATCGATATCCCAGAAAATTTGCTCTGATAATTTTACTTTTCCCTATATTTCCCTGGTGCAATGTACAATTTTGTATTTACATTTGTACATACATTTGTATAGACAGAAGGAGGCCAATGATGATCTTGGCATATAATAATATTAGAGAATTTAGACTAATTCTTTGTGTTGGAAATTACAGTTTAATTAACTTTAAGCTTACGGTATGATGATGTCTACCAACACATCTATGAACTTTTAAGATAAAACCTTGATGGCTTATAATTGTGCATTCCAGGGTGGTCATAGTTTTGACTAAGGTAATGTCAGTAATGAGTAGGTGGATGGAGCAGCAAAGGCCCTGCTCTATATACTGATGATGTTACCATATGCAATTATGCATGTCTGACAACAGCTAGAACTGTCAGTGTAAAGTGGTCAGTGTACTAGCCAGCCCTTTTTTCTGTCCCCCCATTTTTGTTTTTATTGTAACATCATGTCGAAGGCGTCTGGATAAATTTTGAAATCTTGACGCTATCTCCTGCATTTTGACATGCAAATGTTGTTGGTACTGGTAGTCTAAAATAACACCTCTTTCCATGTCTTTGTGAGCTAATTTTTGTCCATCAAAGATGATGGATTGGGTGATATTTTTGTCCACCATGAGCAGCAAAACCGTGAAGTGATGAAAAGACAGACACTAACTATCAGAACACTGACCTGCACCAGGGGTGATTAGTGATACTGACCAGGTGTAAAGACAACTATTACAGTAAAGACAACTGGAACCATATGACTGTAACATTCATGTGACAGTCTACTGTCATCAGTAGAACTTATATAGTACTATAACTATAGTATAAGGGGCAAAAGAAATTTAAATTAATTACCAGGTATGTTTTCAATCAGGTTTTACTTAAGAAGCAATATAATTATTACATGTATGTATGTACAGGATTAAGGATAATCCGGTAAAAATAATTTTCTGTTAGCAGGAGGACACAAACCTTGAGTATACTTGAGTTAATTAAAAGAAAATCCTAGCACAAAATCACAACATTGATACAAGTTCATTCATGGGTTGAGCACCAGGGTTCCTCTAATGTTCACCAAGAGAAAGCCGGAATATTCCTCAAACATTTGTCTCTTTTTCTGTTTGTTTGGTTGGTTGGTTCAATGTCAGTGAGTTTTTGTGTAAAAAAAATGCTAATACCATGCAGTTGTAGGGAGAGTGGGTGGATGTTTGGTTACTAATGATTCAAACAGAGTTACATTGTGAGCCTGAATGAAGAATTCAGGAAGTAGCTGATTGTTTCCTTTTTTCCTAGAACTATATCATAGACAATCAGCTACTTCCTGAATTCTTCATTCAGGCTCACAATGTAACTCTGTTTAAATCATTAGTAACCAAATATCCACCCACTCTCCCTGCAACTATATCATAGCGTGGAACTCGCTGACACCAAGTACAGTTTGGTACATCATCACTACTAGTAGGTAGCTTTAAACAATGTTTGGTGCAATATAGTCATCTACTGCCTACTAGTATACGTGCCCGCAAAACTGGTGTGTTACACCAGGGGGCATTTACTGTGAAACAAACAGAAACAGATACAGATTATATGTAATATCTCTTTAAATTACATCATACAATTCCCTCCATATTTCAAATACATGTACACTGTCTACTACAAAAATTCAAAACCCAACTTGTGTATTTGATCATTTGTCTGCTGTGTTTCCAGCCTGTAGTGTAGGTACTTGTGCCACATGTACGTATTATACTGTCAAAGCCCTGGTAACTGTTACCTGCTGTAATATTAATCGCATCTCCACAAACTCAAACACCATATATTTCATGGAGGGCTGAGATTTTGAGACCTAATGTTTTTCCACAGAGTCAGCCACAGTTCCAGTGCTCATGGTCTTGTATTGTGTGGATGTGATACTTTGTTTTGCAAACACTTCTTGTTTGCTAACTAAATTACTTAGAGACTTGTGTGTTATTTAAGCCAATTGTCCTGCCATGGAAACACTAACCTGGCATGGACAGGAAAATACAATGTAGGGCAGGCATGTTCCAGTCATTTCTGTGTGTTGCAGAAAGTTTGTTGTTTCAGAGGAGGGAGTAAAATATTGTTTGCGATCGAAGTGTGACTGCATGTCTGTTTATATTAGTACAGTACTAGTACATGAGTGGTGTGATTCCACATGATACAATGTTGCCAGAGCTGCCAGTTTTTTCTACATAAGTAAGGCAGCCTGCAAGCCCTTTTCCATAGAGTGTACATAATCGGCCATTTTAATTCTACGTAGAGCGTATAGAAGTAATGCTTTAATTCAACGTAGAGCGTAATTGGCACATTTTGTGTAGAGCGTATTCGCCGTTTTAATTCCACGTAATGCGTTGTAGCGACTTGCAATTTATCGTAAAGCGTAATCGAGAGCTCTCAAAATTTAGCGTAGAGCGTTGTCGGGACCCCTCCATGCAGGCCTCCAAGTAACTGAAAGGGTCGCAAAGAAGTCCATGTATAGGTATTCAGGTGAAATTTGCCATCTCAGATTGCAAACTGGACGTTGATTTAATCTCTAAATGCCATAGAATTCTAATGAGAAAATGTTTGGAATAGTAAATGATGTAACACTAAAAGAATTCATTGTCTATCAACAAAAAAGTCTACTGTGGTAAAAAAAGATGTTGAAAAAACACCCAACAAATGCTTGTAAAACCATAGAATCCCTTTCTAGCTTTGCTTCTTAGCTGTAAAAGGAAGTTTTAATATATATATTTATATAGTTTAAGTATTTTACTAATTTTAGTATCATAGTTTTATTGTAGCTTTATTTTAGTTTGATTGTAGTTTTAGTCTTATGATAATTTCATTACTTAGTCAAAAAGCTTAGCCATAAAACAGGGAATTGACTTGTTCCAGGCCTATACAGGTAGCCTTAAAACTACCATGAAGTGTGGATGAGTGGGCTTCTTTAGGTTTGTTCAGGTGAATACCTGGTATGTGTAAGACTGGGTGTGGTGTTAGGGTCGTAGCACACGCACAATCAGTCCTGACGTACAGACAGGTGCTTGTGGTGGTTGGTCAACAGTATTAGGGCACGACTTCCAGGAGGAACGATCCACTTTTATTAGGGGGGCTAAAACTGGAGCTAGTGTTTTTAGTTGACTATCATTAGAGAATTTTGAGAAACCAGCTCTTCTTGTATTAAGAGTATTCAAATACAGAAATTTGGTAATTTATAAGATTTTTCAAGACCTTGCAAGAGAAACTTCCTAAGTTATAAATTCATCTGATATTTGCGGGTATTTACCAAGACCAAGGTAAGTTTAAGTATTAGAATGGAGAAGACAAAACTGTCATTTTTTCCTTTTTTAAAATTACTTCTTGATAGTTGGTAACTATAGATTCATCTGCATTTTTGTTTACAACTGTACATGTACATGCGGTTGTGTAGTTTGTTGTACTACATATTGGTCAAGCTGTTTGGTATAATATTAGCTGTCTACTCCTAATAGATATAGTTTTCAAAGTCCTACCTGTATTTCGTAAGGTCTCAGTCCTGAATTGTTCTGCATGTATAATGTACTGGTTGTAGTCTCTAACAGTGTAAAAAATAATTGGGACCATAAACGTGTGTTCAGGTAGATTAGAAATTTCCTTTCGTCAATCCAACCTTATTTACATTGTACATATCGCTTGGTATATTTGGGTTAGTGATGCATACCTAAACCCAATTTTAGGTTCAGGTCCGGATTCAAGTCCAGAGGTTTAGGTTCAGGTCCGGACTTGTAAGTCCGGACCTAAACCCATGGCATATACAAAATTGTATGTTGGCAACCTTGCAATATTGTCTGGGTATAACTTTGGCCACATAACATGGAGGCCGACACTTGACGATGCCCGATGGCAATGTTTTCTTCGTTTTGCAGCAAAGATTTTACAATCTACGGAAGGTTTTAGGTTGTTTGGAAAGAAAGGGGGTATGTGAAATGGTCTTTTATGGTAATAAGTCCGGACTCGGTTCTTGCCTTTTAGGTTTTTTTGGACTTGAACCTAAACATTCTTACAAGTCCGGATCCAAGTCCAGTGAACCGGTATGCATCACTAATTTGAGTGGCATTTTTTTTTATTGTCCAAAGAACCAGTGTGCTTGCAAAAGACAAAACGCTGATTAAAGTACTGTTTATTGGATATATGGCCACAAAAAAAAAAGCTTATTTCCTCATTGTACCCAATGGTGCAGCAAATTGGTGAATGACACGTAATCACTACTAGTATTTTGCAAGTGTATCATAACTGCCTCCTAGCAACTTAGTGGGTTATTGCAACAGTTGTATTACAGTGCAGGAAGGACATCTGTCTACTGATTGCAGTATTGCAGCCCAGTGCTTCTATTTTTCTTTTAGCACACCATGGAATTTTGTCAGTCACAGAATATTACAAAATCTAGTAATATACCGTGTTCCTAGAGCTGTGTACCGGTACGCAGTACCGATACTGTACCGGAAAAATTGATTAGGTACAGGTCCAAAATACCTAATCCCTCAGTACCGGTACTGTACCTAAACAATTTCACACCAATTTTATGCCTATTTGTGACCTCAAATGGGTCCCTGTGTAAGGACAGTGTGTTCATGAAAACAAAAACATCTTTAGTTTTGCCTATATTTTATCTGAGCATTCGCCATAAACAAAGAATAAACCTTAACTAACAAGTTTATTAATGTTTTTTTTGTTATTGAAGGAGTTCAGAAGAGCATATAAATTGGTCGAAATGTTCAGGTACAGGTTCAGGTCCGGACCTGTACCTAAACCTGTGTACCTGTACCTGTACCTGTACCTAAAATTTGTTTAGGTACACAGCTCTACGTGTTCCGTGTTCACTTAAGGCCACACCAATTAAATTTGTTGGTTCTCGGATTCGCCTCTTCATTTTTTTCTGATTTGCAAAAAAAAAAGATTCTGGTTCTGAATGAACTCAAATATGGTCATATTTTGCCCTCAACAGTTGAGGAAAGTCCTTTTCTTCCTAATTGTTACAGTTTTTCATCTATCAATGCAGTGGTTTGAGTAAAAGTTTAAGATTCATTGTTTAAATATTACACAGCCTTTTGTGTTGACTTCATGGCTCCTATTGTAGCATTTGGGTCTATAATAGGATGCCTAGACCTGTTTTTATTTTTATTTATTTTTGCCTTGTCCCTTCATATTTTTTCTGAAAAAATCCAAGAACCAACAAATTTAACTGGTGTGGCCTAAGTATTAATTCAAGAATTTAAGAAAAATTATATCATACTAATGGCAGCTATATGTATACTTTGAGTCATGGTTTTCATTTTATCTTTGCATATTTTTTTTGTTCTGTTTTGTCTTTTTTATCTCCAAACACGTAAGATCAGTGACATCTGTCACAATGGTAACTGGTGCTGCTGAGCCTCTGTGTCTACTTAGTATATAAATGTGTTTGAGTAAGAACAAGGAGGTTAAATACAAGAGGTATTTAACCTCCTTGGTAAGAATAAACAAAGCATGTTATTATGAAAATTATACTGCGACATGAATGTGTCGCCACCACGTATGTTTCAATAAAAAAAAATAATAAACAAAGCAGTAGTTTGTTAGACTAGGGAATGTTTACCTCAGAAAAAAACATTATTTTTGCTCTGAAAATGTTACCTTTGTGCTGCCCTAAAATC